TGTAATCCAAGAAAACACGATAATTTCCAGAGAAACGTCAGAAGTGCTTTATTCAAAGTCATGTCCATCGCCAGCCACACATTTACCCCATCTTTCAGGTGATTGGTCGAGACCGTCCCAATAGAACTTTCCTTGTTTTGAGGCAGACCATTCAGAGACCCCATTTTCCACATCCTCGTACGTGTTGAAGTGCCGCTCAGAAAGTGCGTGCGCCATCGCTCGGAACAGGTGGCCGTCTGAAGGAGCAATACAACAAACGGCACACGTATCAAATCGCATGTATACCAACACGTGTGTAACTCCATCGATGGGAAAAAATCCGCATTACTAGCCGGTGCACCTCGTATATTTGAGAACCCTCAGGGCGTGAGAGCACCGCATCCCCCCTCTGTCACGCCAAGGTGCGTTTCCTAGGAGACAGAGAGGAGACTGAGGGTCTGAGTGGACCCCTGACCTGCCTGAGCCCAGGCCCGGCCTATAGCTGTGGGGAGCAGGACTCTCTCTCTCTCTCTCTCTTTATCTCCCTCCCTCCCTCCTCTCTTCCCCTCTCTCTGGAAAGAAATGGAAAAAATGTCCTCGCCTGGCCGGCCAGCATGGCTCAGTGGTTGAGCATCAACCTAGGAACCAGGAGGTCCCTGTTCGATTCCCGGTCACGGCACAGGCCTGGGTTGCAGGCTCCATCCCCAGCGTGGGGGGCCTGCAGGAGGCAGCTGGTCCATGATTCTCTCTCATTATGGCTGTTTCTGTCTCTCCATCTCCCTTCCTCTCCGAAATCAATAAAGATATTTAAAAAAAAGAGAGAGAGAGAAAGAGAGAGAAAATGAGAGGGGAAACGAGACCGTCTGCGAGGTAAAGGGTGGCGGCTGTTTCCTCCTTCCTCCAGCTTTGCGGGCAGTTAGTCTGTAATTAAATTATCCGCGTCCTCCGCCGAGGAATTGGGGGAGGAAGTGATTTATCACCGCCCCAGGAGGCGCGGACAGCTGGCGCGCTGTGTTAATTGGACCGGTCGATACGGAGCCTTTGCAGAAATGTCATGGTTTTTCTCTGACGTCTTGAAGGTTGGTCGCTGAGGCCGTATCGTTGGCAGGCTTAACAATCGCATCCGTGCGGCGGTGGTGTTTTGGGGGTGTTTTTTTGTGTTTTTTTTTTTTGTGGTTGGAGGTTATTAACTCTGTAACGGGCACCATTGAGGAAGGAGAGGACTTTGAGAACACCATCGCCGATTTGAGACAAAAAAAAAAATTCATTCTAGCAGGTGGGGCTCCTCAGCCCCATCCTGTTTAAAAATATTTAAAAAAAAATTTTTTTTTAAAGCCATGGCCGGGTTTTTTTGCTCAATGGTTAGAGCAGCGGTTCTCAACCTTCCTAAAGCCACGACCCTTTAATACAGCTCCTCATGTTGTGGGGACCCCCAACCATAAAGATATTTTCGTTGCTACGTCATCACTGTCATGTTGCTACTGTTATGAATCGTCATGTAAGTATCTGACATGCAGGATGGATTTTCATTGTTACACACAGAGTTGAGAAAAAAAAAAAATTCATTCTAGCAGGTGGGGCTCCTCAGCCCCATCCTGTTTAAAAATATTTAAAAAAAATTTTTTTTTAAAGCCATGGCCGGGTTTTTTTGCTCAATGGTTAGAGCAGCGGTTCTCAACCTTCCTAAAGCCACGACCCTTTAATACAGCTCCTCATGTTGTGGGGACCCCCAACCATAAAGATATTTTCGTTGCTACGTCATCACTGTCATGTTGCTACTGTTATGAATCGTCATGTAAGTATCTGACATGCAGGATGGATTTTCATTGTTACACATGGAACATCATGAAAGCACAGTGATCAATCACAAAAACAATATGTAATTATAGATGTGTTTTCCGATGGTCTTAGGCGACCCCTGTGAAAGGGTCGTTCGACCCCCCCCAAAGGGGTTGCGACCCACAGGTTGAGAACCGCTGGGTTCGAGTGTCAACCTGTTGACAGAAGGGTCACAGATTCGATTCCCGATCCCGGGCACATATCCAGCTGGTGGGGTTCACTCCCCGCCCCAGTCAGGACGCACACGGAAGGCAACTGAGCGATATGTTCTCACATCAATGTTCCTCTCTCTCTCCCGCTCCCTTCCCCTCTCTCTGAAAAAAAAAAATCAATGTAAAAAATATCTCCGGTGAGGATTAACAGCAACAACAATTCTCCCTCCCCTTCAATGACTGACTTTTTTTTTTTTTTTAATACATTTTTATTGACTTCAGAGAGGAAGGGAGAGGGGGAGAGAGAGAGCAACATCAGTGATGAGAGAGAATCATGGATCGGCCGCCTCCTGCACACCCCACCCTGGGGACGGAGCCCGAAACCCGGGCATGTGCCCTGACCGGGATTCGAACCCGGGACCCTTCAGTCCCCAGGCCGATGCTCTATCCACTGAGCCGAACCAGCTAGGGCTTCGATGATGGACTTTTCAACAGTGGCTTAAACATAATACATTTTAAATAAAGCCCTTTTATATGGGTGATGAAGGCAGACGACTTCAAAGGGTGACGGCGTTGGGTTTGTGTTGGACGGAACTTCAAACAGCGGGCCCCCATCTGGCCTTTACAAAGCGCGTCGCGGCCTTGACCCACTGCCAGGACGCCCGTGAGGGCCGACCTTGGGAGGCGCACGTCCCGACCTCGGTCCAGGGAGACCGGCGTTGCCTGGGGGACCTTCTCCCGGCTGCTGTGCCGGCCTCGGTGGACGGTGGCTGGGACAGGTGGGATGCGGGTGGAGTTCTGCAGCTGAGCTCGGACTGTCCATCTCCGGCATCAAGACCAGAGGGACACTCGGGCCCGGCCGGCGTGGCTCAGTGGTTGAGCATCGACCTACGAACCAGGAGGTCAGGGTTCGATTCCCGGTCGGGGCACAGGCCCATGTTGTGGGCTCGATCCCCAGTGTGGGGCGTGCAGGAGACGGCCAATCCATGATTCTCTCTCGTCATCGATGTTTCTCTCTCTCTCCCTCTCCTAATACAAATATATATATATTTTTTAAAAGCTGGTGACGGTGGCATAGAGAACCCAGAGCTTGAGGGATGTTGGGGCGCCCCCCACCCCCGGGGAGGATGTGGGAGGGGGGAATCCTGAGACAGGGGATGGAGCTGCCGGCAGCCGGAGCCTGGCCCCCTGCCCGTCATCGGGGATGAGCCGGGCGCACCGGCCGCAAGCATTCCGGAGACAAACAAGCCGCCGAGAAATTAATGATCTAGAATTAAAAGGACGCCGCGTCCCCCGGAAAGTGATTTATTTCGAGAATTCCATGCGCAAGCAACTCTCCGAGGCAGCATGGAGCAGGAGACAGCAGAGCCCTGGCTCCGACGGCAGATTAATTCCTGCCGGGGAAGGAGCTGGGGCGGGCGGAGGAGCGAAGACCTTCCCGCAGAAACGCGTCTCCCTCTTCCTAAGGTGGAAGGAGGCTCGGAGAAGTCAGAGGAGGGCGTACGTCCTGCGTCCTACGTCCTACGGGACAGGCCCTGCCTCCAGCCGCTGTTCTCAGCGGCTCTGCAAGCGTCGTGCAAAAAATAAAAGAGTTTGGGGGAAATGAGGCGCCACGGGGTGGGGTGGGGGGGGCAGGCGGGGAGTTTGCTAGCTCATTACCAGTTGCCAACTTTCCCTGCCCTTTTTTTTTTTAAATATATTTCATTGATTTTTACAGAGAGGAAGGGAGAAGGAGAGAGAGTGAGAAACATCGATGAGAGAGAAACATCCATCAGCTGCCTCCTGCACGCCCCCCGACTGGGGATCGAGCCCGCAACCAAGGTGTGTGTCCTGACCGGGAATCGAACCCGGGACCCATCAGTCTGCCGGCCGTTGCTCTATCCACTGAGCCAAACCGGTTAGGGCTATTTTTTTTTAAATATGTTTTTATTGATTTGACAGAGAGGAAGGGAGAGAGAAACAGCAATGGTGAGAATCAGGGATCGGCTGCCTCCTGCACGCCCCACACTGGGGATCGAACCCGAAACCCTGGACATGTGCCCTGACGGGGAATCGAACCGTGACCTCCTGGTTCGTAGGTCCACGCTCAACCCCTGAGCCACGCAAGCTGGGCTATTTTTTTAATTTTTGTTAATCCTTTCTAAAGGCTATTTCAATTGCTTTTTCAGAGTGAATGGAAGGGAGGAAAGGAGGGAGGGAGGGAGGGGGAGAGAGAGAGAAACATCGATGTGAGAGACACATGAACTGGTTGCCTCCCACACACGCCCCGACTGGAGGCAGGGAGCAGCCCCGCAACCCAGGTACGTGCCCTGGACCCGGAATCGAACCCGAGACCCTTCCATGCACGCCGGCCGACACCCTAACTACTTGGCCACACTGGCCAGGGCGCTCATGTAGGTTTTGACGGTGGTTTTCTATGAAACACCCCTTGACCTCAATATATTTGAAAAGCAAACGAACGAAAACCAGCCCTCCAAAAAACAATAAGTCAATAAAATACAAGAAATAGAACACCTGCTACTCTGGGTGTCTGAGTGCCTCCCCAGTCCTCGGATTCTCTGCAGGCTCCACGAGAAAGCCGGCTGGGCGGCGGGCGGGCCGGGTCCAGGAAGGCAGCACTAGGCATGGGTCCCCCCGGGGGAAGGAGCCGGCCTTTGATTTCGAGCAAACGAACGAAAACCAGCCCTCCAAAAAACAATAAGCCAATAAAATACAAGAAATAGAACACCTGCTCCTCTGGGTGCCTGAGTGCCTCCCCAGGCTCCACGAGAAAGCCAGCTGGGCGGCGGGCGGGCCGGGCCCGGGAAGGCAGCACGAGGCATGGGTGCCCCCGGGGGAAGGAGCCGGCCTTTGATTTCGGGAATTCAAACTCCAACCCCGCACCCTGGGCCTTTGAATGACGCCACCATCTAAAACTAAAGCCTCAGGCTTTATTTTTTTTGGCCGAAACAGCAAGGAGGCGAGAACGGAAAAGATGAGAAGGCGGGGGTTGGAGGGGCGGGGGGGCCGGCTTTTTGCCGTTTCAGGTCGGATTTAACGAGGAAACGGCCGGCTTTCTGCTTTCAGACCCCGAGAGAGGCCGGCTTGATCTGTGAGGCTTGTTCCCGTGACGGGGCAGATCTGCAGGGAGGAAAAGGAGGCGCCCCCCCCCTTAGGTCAGGTTCCCCTCTGAGCTGTTGAAGGCGTCCCCTGGGACTCCCCTGCCAAGGGCGCAAGACAGGAGGCGGCCCGGCCAGCGTGGCTCAGTGGTTGAGCATCAGCCTATGAACCAGGAGGTCAGGGTTCGATTCCGCTCAGGGCACAGGCCCGGGTTGTGGGCTCCATCCCCAGTGTGGGGTGTGCAGCCATGATTCTCTCTCCTCATTGATGTTTCTTCATTTTTTCTTCGTTAATCCTCACCGGAGGATATTTTTCCATTGATTTTTTAGAGAGAGTGGAAGGGAGGGAAGAGGCAGAGAAAAGAGAAAGATCGATGTCAGAGAGACGCATCGATGGGTTGCCTCCTGCACGTGCCCCAACCAGAGCCCGAGGGATTGAGCCTGCAACCGAGGTCCGTGCCCCTGACCAGAAATCCACCCAGGATCCTTCAGTCTGCGGGCTGATGCGCTATCCACTGAGCCAAACCAGCTAGGCCTCGTCACTGATGTTTCTATCTCTCTCTCCCTTCCTCTCTCTGAAATCAATAAAACACATATGTATTTTTTAAAAAGACAGGAAGGTGGCCCGGCCGGCGTGGCTCAATGGCTGAGCATCGACCGATGAACCAGGAGGTCACGGTCCGATTCCAGGTCGGGGCACATGCCCGGGTTACGGGCTCGATCCCCAGTGTGGGGCGTGCAGGAGGCAGCCGATCCGTGATCCTCTCTCATCACTGGGGTCTCTCTTTCTCTCTCTCTCTCTCTCTCTCTC